CCCTCACAAAAATGTCTAATTTGTTGATTCAAACTGAGCTGGCCTAGGTTTTTTTGGTAGTTCATAATTTTATAGCCATCAGTGGGTACATCTGCATGGCAATTAATATGATGCAATTAATCTCCAGAGCCATTTGAGATGGAGGGAACTGCTCCTGGGTGCAACATCTACACGTGCACCTGGGACAGCCTCAGTTTGAGCTGGGATGGATCAGGCCCCCAACAGGCTGGACTGACCGGGTGCAACTTATGCCTGTGGTTGGCATCCATGCATTTGTTTTAGCACATTAAATTGCTCTGCCATAAGATAGTACTGTCCCCAATGCAAATTTTAACTTACTGCGCACTAATAGAGGCACACATGTAGATGGGGACACTTTGTTGCAGAGCCAATTAGTCTACTCCATAGTAAACTGAAAGTGTAGTTGCACCCAATATATTCAAAGGTATAGTGCGTCTTCCTTCTTCCTTTTGGACTTGCAGCATATCTGAAAAAGTTGAACTTTTTCTTTTCAGCTAATTACCTTGTTCATAATTTCACAAAACTACTTAAGATGAACAATTACGACCTTGTATGTCTGGGAGGAAATGGAATCGAGATATGCTATATAGCCTGTTCAGAATTATCAGCTCTGCATCTGGTCTGCCTCTTCACTCTTTGTATTCAACATGCAGTCTTCCTCACCATTCATCATTATCATGTCAAAGAAACCTCCTTAAACGTAGCCACAAACCTGATATCTATTGGTATGCTTATGGATATGTCAGAAGTGGCCAGCTTGTGGCATAGGTGCCACAAGTGGCAGGGGCAGCCTCTGAATGGGGCACATGGCAGGTTGGGGAGGGGGCAGGCAGTACAGGGCAGGGGGCAGAAAGCAAATCATCGTATCAGCCAGGAAGCACAGAGCAGGGAGCAGAACAGCAGAGTGGGCAAGGGAAAGGGATCACAGAGGCACTTGATGAGGGGAAGGTAGAAGGTTAACTTGCTCCAGAAAGGGGCCTCTGATGGGAAGGTTGGCCCCCACTGGTATAAGACATGTATGTTTACTGTTTTGTGTTTTTAACCCAGTGCCCCATTTGAAGTTGCCTGGTTATATCATACTTTAAGTTTTAGCTTTAAAAAAATGCCTTTTTTCCCCACCCCTGTAGCTTAATGCAATGGCGAACAGAGCAGCAGGTAAAGGCTATGAAAATGAGGACAACTACTCTAACATTAGATTTCAGTTTGTCGGCATTGAAAATATTCATGTAATGAGATCCAGCCTGCAAAAACTTCTAGAAGGCAAGTTTTTGTTCTACCTGTATAAAGTTTGCTTGTTCTTTGGGTGGGGAGGTGGGGAATGAGAGGTTGGTTAAAAACTGGATACGTGATCTTTTTATGGTCATTGAATTTTTAATGTTAGTTTATGCAAGGAATACAAATCTTACTTTTCCTTACTGCATTGAATTTAGTAGTTGGTGTGCTATGTCATTTGAGGGGCTGGGAACTGATTTACTGTGAATTTTTTGAGGGAGCTTTTATGAATGGTTAATTATTTGTCTTGATGGAAATATTTCAGTATGTTAAATATTTCTTGGGCTAGTTCTGTTCATGTGCCAGATGATCTACAGGAGACGGTTTGCAGGGCTTGATATACATTTATAAATCCCTAATGACATCTGAAGAACTCTAGAACTCTTGGTTCAGGGATGATACCTTTTATTAGACCAACTGAGAAATCACAAAAAATATACTTTTTTTCTGCAAGCTTTCAGACCCAAAGGAACAGACTTCCATCTTCAGCTTCCTCTGTGAAAAAATGAGGTTTGTCTTCTACCCATGGGGACTTTTGACTAACTTTAATTTTCCCTGAGCCTGAGGAAGAGCGTGTGTGCTCGAAAGCTTGCCAAAAAAGGTAAGTTTTTTGTGATTTCTCAGTTGGTCTAATAGAAGGTATCATCTCTGAACCAAGAGTTCTAGAGTTTTTCAGATGTCATTAGGAATTTATAAATGTATATTAAGAAGCTCATATTCCCACTAAGTGTACTATTTAATTCTTCTCCAGGTGCTGAAAGGGGTTTGTATTGCTTGTTAGGTCACAATAAGAATTTCATAACTGCAGTCACTGGAAATTCCTGTAAAGGTGCACACTGCCATTAAGGGTCTCTGTTCTTTTTAACTCTAACCTTTGGAGACAGTTCAGATTCCAGGACAGTGCTCCAGCCTGGATCTGGATTCACCACCTCGGAAAAGACGATGGTGCACATGTGACTTATTGGATGAATCAGTGTGACCAGTCTCAAACCCAGTGAGTCTGCTCCCATCAGCAAGGTGTCATCCCAGATATGACAGGCAGGTTTCTGGGGAAAAAAAGCTCATAGGCCAGAATCAGAGGCAGCCTACCTCTAGAAACTATAAGGAGAAAAATTGGCTTCTCCTGCACTGTGTGAAGTTCAAAGAAAAATTACACAACCTTGTAAAGATTTTGGTAGGTTTTGGTAAAGTTGATGTATGGAAATATGACAGAATAATAACCATGTCTTTCAAAACCAGGATGTAGAGGCAGGACCTTTCTCATTAGGTCCCGAGGCCATCAGGATAGGGAACAGTGCATCTGAGTCTAACTTGTCTCTGTGCTAAGCAGCTTTAGTGAGCAGCATTCCAGTCACAAGTGAGACATCAGCATTGATCCTTTGCAACATGTTGAAATGGGATTTTTCTTTTGGCAGAAATACCTTATACAGCCCTCACCTTCAGCTGCTGCCAGCCCCCCACCCCCCTGGCTACCCTAAATTCACTTGATTCCAAGGATCTTTTACAGAATAAGACCAAACTCTTCCATGATTATTTACTTAATGTTAATGGAGCCAAGATAATTCAGGTTCTCCAGCATACTGAAATCTGTCAGTCTGCCGGGTGAAGACATTACTTCTGGCTACAAGTACTCACACCTAAAATCCTTTCACAGCCTGACTGATATTGGACAAAGGAAATTCATGTTCTGTATCTGTTTGAGATATTAAATAGCAGGAAAATATTCTACAAGGCTACCCTATTTGACACAATGGTCAAGATAAAGTAATAGATTCAGAGGAGTCTCAATCTTATCTATACATAAAATGGCCATCGGGGATCTGTTCACATGAAGGGCATTTCTTTCACTAGATCTCATGGGATTGGTATCCCATGCAAAAAAACAAATGTTCTAACTGCTGTTTTCTTAGATTCAAAGCTCCCAACACAACTGCTTAGTATCGCTGCTTGTAAATTACCATATCAACCACAACTTGAAGAAAAAGTTGCTGTCTGGATGTTTGAGGAGTCAGTGTTCTGTCTTGTATAGCTTTGCTTGAAAAAGAGGCCAGCAAACAAAGATCTGCATGTTTTGCAAGTGTGCAACATCATTTTCCCTTTGAAAGGTTTTCTTGCCAACTACAAAAGCTAATATTGGGGAAGTGAGGAGGTTTGTGGGCTTGTTTTATAATGAAATCACGTTCTACAGAAACTACTGGTATAGGTCTCCTAACATGTTTCGAAATATTTTCTACTTTTAGTTGGTGAAGGGATTCTTATTTTTATTTGTAGTTATGCTACAAGATGTCTGTGCTAAGTATGCTGCATCTTTGCTTCCTTTAAATAAGAAATATACTTTACCTCAAGGGGCATGTGATCTTATATTAGCCAGTGAATAATTGCATTGTTTTTTGATGCCTAGATTTATCCAGTAAGGACAATTGATCCAAATTATTCTGTTTTCCATGCTCTAGGTCAAGCCACACTTATCTGAATGCCAAGCAATCAATGTTTATATTAAAAACGGTAGGCTTATGGCCTTAGACTAACACAGCTACAACCAAAAACCCTATGCTAAAAACTGAATTGCAGGTCAGAAGTCATTACCAAAAGATGATTACATGAGAGAGTTACAGATGCATTGTTAACATGGCTGTAAAGATAGATTACCCCAAGAGTCAGCTACATAAAATACAGCCCTCTGCTGATTTAACTCGGTTGAATCCAGTGTAAATTACCCTTAGTAAACGTGCAGTAAGAGTATGTTTGTGTAAGTATTTGTCCACAGTTATTCTATGGAACTATTTGCTTAAAGCTAATGGTCTTACCATCTCCCCTGCCATGTAATATCAAGACACTAATATGACATGCTGCATGCAATTGCTCTAGGAGAGCTGATCTGTCTACTCCATACCTTGGTGTGATTTTTACATTGTAGTAAAAAACCAATATGAACAATACTGCTGGAAATGTGTCCTCAGATTGATATCATCTGCAGGACTGAGGATGCTCTTCATTTTCCTTCCTCCATTATTGTACATTATTGAGGGTAGGATGGTGGAGTTTACAGTAAACAAGAATGGTACATGTGTTCTGGAGACATACACAGAAAGAACTTTATTTCTTCCCTGTTTTTCCCCCTCCTTCCCTTCCACTTACGTAAATACTACATTCAGATTACTTTTGTTAAAAAATGACCCATTTTATTCTGGAAGTTTTATAGGTTACTCAGTACTCTAAATATAGTCTGGTAATGATGTACTCTCTTTAAATATTTTGGTGGGTTAGGGTTGTCGAGTATTTACCTTGTGCTGTCCTGCTCTGTAAGGCCAAGTAGCGCTTTTTACTGTGACTGATCAGCTTTACTCAAATGTTGTCTTTGTACCCTTTTGGCAATGCAGACCTAGTTTCTTCCTCTTTTATAACCCAGTCAATCTGCAGTCTATTTTATATGGAGAAATGTATTATTATTGTTCTGTACGTATTTCTGAAATGTTGAGAATTTAAGTACTTCTTGAAAAGAAAGAACAATGTTTTTAAATACCTTTCTAAAATAGAGAAAGGTGGCCTGATATTTGCATTGTCATGTTACTCCCCATGCCCCCCCTTACAGTGATAGGATGTTAAATGACTTTTTTTTTTTGTCTTTCAGTCAGTGGTATAAGGGGTTTGTCTGTCAACGATTTTTTGTCTGGCTTGGAGAACTCTGGCTGGCTGCGTCATATCAAAGCTGTATCGGATGCTGCTGTCGTCTTGGCCAAAGTAACTTGCACACCTCATCTTTTTTGGGATGTCGGGGTGGGGGAGGTTGAAGATGTACTTCATGCTCTTGACTTGTTCCTGCAGCAAAAATAATAACATTTGATTTATGTACTTGCTCTGTTGGGTGTTCTGTTGTATTTGTGCTAGGTATGGACATTACACTTCTACTAAATAAATGATTGGAAACTAGTCTGTGCCTGTAATGGAACAAAAGTTTGGTGCACACAACAGCTCCCCCCACAAAAGGGCAAAAGCGTGTTCTGTTCACTACTGATCTAAACTATGCTGCTTACAGAAAACTGTATAACTTAGATGTATAGTTTTACAGCAAGTCCATTTGGTAGAAAAAATAACCTATGTGCCTGTTTTGTGTCTTAATTGACTTTTGAATGTGAAACAGCCCCCTTTCCATTGTGGTGAAAGGATGTTAGCTTAGCTATATTTTTATAAGAGATCTAACCATCAAATATATTATTATATATATAACGGGTGGGGGGAAGGGGAGTTGGAGGAAATTATTAAAAGCTTTGAGTACTTCACATGGCCATGATGCTAACTAAATCGGTTCTAACTTTTGGAGTTCAATTGCAGTTTTCCTTTAGATAGTTAAATCGGCTAACTTCAAGTACTGCCCTTCTCCCCAGTTCAGTCTAATAAACAACTGCCAAAGAACTGCTTGGGCCTAAAGGGGATAGGGTAAGCAGGTTTTTACTGCAACATCTGTTTTGCAATTGGTGTTAAGTAGCTAACTTTATATTAATAGAAAGAGAAATAAAAATTGCAGCAAACACGCTTCAAATAATAACAAAAACAAATTAATTCACAGGCTGGCAAAATGCTATGATGTGGTATTCTAGTCACAGAATAGCATGCAGTAGGGAAGTGGTTCTCAACATTTTTAGATTCAAGACCCCTCTGAAAATGTCAGCTCTTAGTTTCCTCTCTTTTTTTTCCATAGTCAAAAAAAGAAAAGTGTGTAATTATTTTGCAAAGAACTCAAACCACAACAGGGCACAATGCTTGTGACACTATGGATTTCTATTTGAAATCTCTGGGTTTAAGCTATGAATCGTGTGTAGGTGTTTGCACACATAAAAAGTGCTAATATTGTATGGTACTGTGTGGCATCCTGGATGCCAGGATTCCCTTGTTGAGAATCACTGTTAGCGTAACTGTATGAATTGGAGCTGTTTTGGTTGTGACCTTGGAAGGGTAGGGTAGCAGTTTAGTGCCCTTGTTAACTCGGATATTTAGTTCATGAACTTCTACTGGCTTTAATATTAAAGTATGTACAGGTCATATACTTTTAAGAGGGTATTTACTTTTGAATTAGGTATGTTTTATGTTTTAAAGCTGTCCCTAAGTGTGCCTGGTATTTTTTCTTAAATGACCATTCCTAGCAACTATCACCTTATACTAGTCTTTTATCATACACTTTTCTAAATGTTTTTCTGCTGAATCTTTACATGCACATCTCCACCTATGGATAAATTCTCCATAGACAAAACACTCACTAGCACCACTACCAAAAGGGACTTGGGGGTCATGATTGAGCACAAGATGAACATGAGCCACCAATGCAATACTGCAGCCAGCAGAGCAAACAAAACCTTGGCTGACATCTATCGATGCATTTCAAGCAAGACCCAGGAAGTCATCGTCCTGCTGTACTTGGCCTTGGTGAGGCTGCAGCTGGAGTGCTGCGTCCAGTTCTGGGCTCCACACTTTAGGAAGGATGTGGAAAAGCTTGAGAGAGTCCAGAGGAGAGCCATGCACAGGATCAGAGGGCAAGACAACAGGTCTTATGAGGGGAGGCTGAGAGGCATGGGACTCTTCAGCCTGGAGAAGTAAAGGCTCAGGAGGACTTGGTGGTAGCCTATAAGTATGTAAGGGGTGTGCATCAGGAACTAGGAGAACATCTGTTCTCCAGGGCACCCTACTTGAAGATGAGGTTTAATGGTCATAAACTCTGGGAAGACTTTTTTAGGCTGAACATAGTAAAAACTTCTTTACTGTCAGAGTCCCCAGAGTCTAGAATAGACTTCCCCCCGAAATGGTACAATCACCTACTCTGGACACCATTAAGACCCAGTTGAATGCTTATGTTGCTGGGATTATTTGAGCCCAGCAGACTTCCTGCCCCTTGGGCAGAGGGCTGGACCTGATGATCTTGCAAGGTCCCTTTCTGCTGTAATGTCCATGAAAACGCGCTCTCTCATACTTGAATCTGTACTACACTTTTTTATCTCATAGCATAGCAGCACATACAGGTATGTTTGAACCATGAAGATTTGTTTGGGGAGGTGGGGAGTGTGTTGTTGCTTGTAAATATGACATTATCATGTCTGCTAGGCTTATAGCTGGAAAACTGAGGCAGTAATTCTTGCCATAAAGATTTCTACCACCTGAAGTAGCACTAGAGTGTTTTAAAGTAGGCTTGGGATTACTTGAAATTAAAAAGCTAACATCTCTCAAAATGTGACTTGCAAATATTTAGATCAATGAAGCATGGCTTCTTGTTTTGAATCTTTCTCATACCCCTAAATTCTTGATGTAGAACGGACAGAATTTTTACAAATGCCCAGTACCCCATATTTGTTTTGTGGGATTTTGATGTATAGTTGAGCCTCTTCCTAGCAGCCTATTGAGACTAGGTGCTACCAGATATTTGGCTGTGAACAAATAGTAGAAAATGAGCACCTAGTTTCAAGAGCAAAGAGGGAACTAAACCTTGTCTTTATCATGCAGAGCTTGATAGCTTTGCAAAGGGAAATTCCCAACATTGGCACTGTTCAACATGGTTTGCAGCCAGAAATCTCACACTGTGCACTGCCAGGTGAGCCTCAAGTACTGTCCCTAAATATGTACTGTCATGCAAGTTTTGGAGTAAACTGAACTTTTGAAATTTATTTAAGAAATTATGGAACATATGCTACTAAGTTTTGTTTTCATTTTGCAGGCAATAGTAGTTGAAAATGCAAGTGTGTTAGTACACTGCTCTGATGGCTGGGACAGGACTTCCCAAGTTTGTTCCCTTGGTGCTCTCTTACTGGATTCCTATTACAGGACAATTAAAGGATTCATGGTGAGCATTTTTTTCATATGGCTAAATTCAGTTGCCTTTTAAGTCTAGGTATGAGAATATGAGCTTCCAAATGTGAAGTATAACAGGATAGATAAATTGCTGCCTGTTGATTTTTATTTTGCTTTTGTAAAATAAACAAGTTCAAATCAGAACAGTCTGTCTGCATGTCTCCCATTGGAAAGCTATATCAAGTTATATGGAAAAGCATTATAAACTTTTTATTCATCAGCATTCAGAGTAGCCATGTACTGAACCTGAAGGTAAGCTAAAGTAGTAATTTTGGTAATCCACAGTCTACTAATATACTTCATAATCTGCATTCAAAAATCATCAAAATACCTTGGCAAAAATCTTGTACCTGATACTGCTGTATTGTCATCTGGCATCCTGTTTACACACTTTATTTCATGGAATTCACTGAATTTGAAAGGCAACATTTAAAACTAGTAGAATGAGTAGTACATAGAACTTGTCATAAATACTACTAAAACCAAAAGTTTAGTAGGTGTCAAAGCCATCAAGCTTTCTCAGGGGTTAAGGGGTATAAACCCATTAACGGCTTGAAATTATGGAGATGATTCTCTTATAGACATGTCCACCATGGAGTAAGAATTACAGCTTTTAATAACTTTCATATGGCATTTGGTACTGATCAGTTGGGCAAGCTGCAAGTATGATCTGATAAGGCAGTGCTGTCCCAATGGAACCCTGGGGGCTGAATGCAGCCTGTAAGAGGTTACTATGCAGCTCCTACCAAGCTGCTGCCACCTCTTTTCACACCTCTGCCCCACTTAATTGCTCCCATCTCAGCTGAGATCTCTAGGTTCCTCCTCCCTCCCCTCAGTTTTCTCTTCCTACTCCCACCCCAGGGGTGTAGTACAGCCCACGGTACGGGGTGACCCCATGGTACAGTACAGCAAGGGAGCTGAAGGGGGGTGGCATTGCTAGTGTAGGCAGAAACTCCCCCTTCCCTTATTGTCCCTCCCCCCACTTCACACTACCTGCTGCAGGGCCTGGGAGTGTAGCCCAGGTGTCTGTGACTTGCACTAGCATAGCCCCTGGGGCATATGGCCCTATCCCCATGCTAAGGCAATCCTTTTTCCTAATAACAGCTCATATTTATAGAATGTACTAAAATACTCCCATGGAAGGGGAGGCCTCCCCTCTTACCATCCATGACTTTTTCCAGTTACCACCAACTGACCTACATTGATGCTTCTTGTAGCACATGGTGCTATCAGTGTTCCCAAAATGTAGAAGTCATACTCTACTGATGCATATTGGTGTGTATTGCTATAAATTTTTTAAATTACAGGAACATATGAGAATACCTTCATCTGGCACTTTTTCACCTGCTCCCTAATTTGCAGAAGTCAGCTTATATGACTTCATTAAGCTCTTCTATAGTGAATTTGGTTTAACAAAGCCACTTAAGCTGTTGAGTCAACTAAACATTTTATACTTTTTAAAAAGATGTAAATAGCTTTCAGACTGGTTGCAAGTATATTAAGCACACTTCTTCCTCTTTTTGAGTGATTCATTTTCAGTAGTCAAAAGTTGTCATGAAGCCATCGGGACTCAAAATGGTGTTACTGCACTCTAGTGTAGTAAATAAATTGAACCTGAAAATGAGGTGCATGTCTATGGATAGTTCAAGATAAATGGACAAGCAAAGAAGTTGCATGATTTCTTTACATCAAATTTTATTTCTTTTTCTCTCTAGGTTTTAATAGAAAAGGACTGGATCTCTTTTGGACACAAATTTTCTGACAGGTAGATCGTTCTCATTGGCCAAAGCAAAATTTTGCAGATTTATCAATTAGTGATTTGTATACATTTGTACAGTGAAGTTAACCATAAATATGTTGTTAACAAAGGCTTAGTGTTTTATATTAACATTTACATTCATATGGATTTTTATTAACCTAATACCATATTTTCTCACATACAACACATCCTTTTACCAGAAAACACCTGCTGGAAGTTGGAGTGCTCATTATATGCAAGTAATACAGTAAGAGCAGGTTTTGCCATTTATTGTTGAAACTGCAGCAAGCCACAGGAAGCAGAACAATGAGCAGGCTTGGCTCCCTAGCTGCTGCTACAAAGTTACTATAAGGAAAGATCTCTTTCTTCATTTTCCCTTTCAGAAAGATATAGCAAGGCTGCTTGTATGCAAGAAATATGGTAATGTGTGAAAGTCTAATGCCTAAACATAACTGTAGCATTGATGGAACTCTTGACAACAAGTAAGCAAGTTCTGCAATAGACAATGCATTATCTTCCTTATTTGAACACCTATAGGATAATTGTTTCTATATAGGAATTCTGAACTCTGGCTTTCAAGAGCTACATGACAATAGAGGAAATAGATAAGTAAGCAGTTAATGTTCTTAAAGACATGGCAGATCTTCTTACTCTTGCTCTTTGTGAAATGACAAGAAAAGTAGAGCAGTGCTTTTATTGAGCACCAAATTCTCATCAAGTGTGATCACTTTAAATACAGTTGCACCTGTGTAGAGTTTACAAATCTCAATGTATAACACTTCTTCTTTAGCCATTCCAAGTATATGAAGCTCTAAATGTGCTCTAGGCTAAAGAAATGGTCTGTTCTGTTTTCTTTAGAATGTACTAATGAACTGTTAAAATGAGTTAACTCTCAGATCCTGGTGATGAGCTCCATATTAAATTAGACATTTATAACTCATCAGTTCTGTAAATTCCTAATTCTTGCTTTCTCTTGTATTGTTGGGAACAATGGTTGTCCAACTGTAGTACTTGAAATGATTATCTCACTGAGGTTTACTAGCTTATTCCGAATGGTAGATTTTGAACATACTGTATTAAAATTGGAAATGTAAAAAAGCTAGTACTGTTTCTTTTTTAATTGCAGTTCTGTAGCAAATGGTAGTTATATTTTGTGACATTGAAAACCCCAGATAAAAAGAAACTGATTTCAACAGAAGTAGCTGAATGAGGCACACTTTTACTCAAAATCTTATTTAGTTTAATTTTATCTTATGTAGTTCAAGGTAAATTTTAAAGTTGAAAAAAAATGTCAGGTGTATGCTGTAATGGATTCTTGTTCTGTTGTTTGGGCCTCCCCACAGTGTCCTTCCAGATCTTGGCTCACCTTGGATGGAGTTGTAGTATAGGTGCATCTTACTGAAATTAATGCATATTTTCTGTCTAGACAAATTATGAGGATTTTATTTACCCTTTTACGTTCTCTGATTTTCTTTATGGAACTCTATTGTAGATGTTGTCAACTGGATGGGGACCCGAAGGAAATCTCACCAGTGTTCACCCAGTTTTTAGAATGTGTGTGGAATCTGACAGAGCAATTTCCACAAGCCTTTGAATACAATGAGGCTTTTCTTCTTCAGATTCATGAACACGTTCATTCATGCCAGTTTGGAAATTTCCTTGGAAACTGCCAAAAAGAGCGAGAAGAACTCAAGTAAGCTGACGATTGTAAACATTCTTCATTTGCTCCATTTAAATAAGAACTTCTTTACATCTTCATCTTGGACTCTGAATAAAAGCAAGTGGACATGATCTGTAATATCGAGAAAATGGTTCAATTGCTCTGGGAAACAGCAAGTGTTCTTAGGCTTTTAGAGGCTGAAAACATTTTTCTAACTCTGAGGAAAAAGTTATGACAATATTTCATAAGGGAGGGGAGCATTCAAAGCCTTCCAAATGTCTTGTATCTCCCCAAAACTGTTGTGTGTTTTTCTTCATTTTTAACTTATTTTTGCAAAAATGTAAGTTGTATTGTTTACTTTCTGGTTCAGAATTGTTCCCTGTTCAACATGTCCTAATATTATTGTCAAATAATTGAAGTTGGCATAGAATTATAGAAAATTAGGGTTGGGAAGGGACCTCAGGAGGTCATGTAGTCCAACCCCATGCTCGAAGTAGGACCATCCCCGACTGGATCATTCTACCCAAAGCTTTGTCAAGCTGGGCCTTAAAAACATCCAGGAATAGAGATTCTACCACCTCTCTAGGTAACCTGTTCTAGTTCTCTCTCTCTCTCCTAGCAAGAGAGTTTTTCCTAATACCCAACCTAAACCTCCCTGGCTGCAACTTGATACCATTGCCCCATGTTCTGTCATCTGTCACCACTGAGAACAGTCTAGCTCCATCCTCTTTAGAACCACCCTTCAGGTAGTTAAAGGCTGCTATTAAATCCCACCTTGGTTTTCTCTTCTGCAGACTAAATAAACCTAGTTTCCTCAGCCCCTCCCCATAAGTCATGTGCCTTACCCCCCTCACCATTTCTGTTGCCCTCTTCTGAACTGTCCCCCACTTGTCCGCATCCTTTCTGTAGTGGGGGGCAGGTCCAAAACTAGACACAGTACTCCAGATGTGGCCTCAACAGTGCTGAATAGAGGGAAAGAATCATTTCCCTCAATATGCTGTTTGGCAACAAGGGCACAATGATGACTCATCCATCTTATTGTCCACTGTACCCCCCAGGTCCTTTTCTGCAGAGCCACTGCTTAGCCAGTCAGCCCCCAGCCTGTACTGGTGGATGGGATTCTTCCATCCTAAGTGCAGGACTTTGCACTTGCCCTTGTTGAACCTCATGAGACTTCTTTTGGCCCAATCCTCCAATTTGTCAAGGTCACTCTGAATCCTACCCCTACTCTCCACTCTGAATCCTAGACCTACTATACCCCCCCCCCAGTGTGGTGTCACCTGCAAACTTGCTTATGGTGCAATCCATCCCATCTTTCAGATCGTTAAATGAAGATTTTGAACACAACCAAACCCTGGGGCACTCCACTTGATACTGCCTGCCAACTAGACATCGAGCCATTGATTACTACCCATTGAGCCTGACAATCTAGCCAGCTTTCTGTCCACCTTACAGTCCATTCATCCAACCAACCCATACTTGCTCAGTTTGCTTGCAAGAATGCTGTGGGAGACTTTATCAGAAATCTTGCTAAAATTGAAGTATATCATGTTCACTGCTTTTACTGCATCCACAGAGCCAGTTATCTCATTATAGGAGGCAATCAGGTTGGTCAGGCATGACTTGCCCTTGGTGAATTCATTCTGACTGTTCCTGATCACTTTTTTCCTCCTCCAAGTGCTTAGAAATGGATTCTTTGAAGACCTACTCCATGATTTTTCTGCGGACGAGGTGAGGCTGACTGGTCTGTAGTTCCCTGGATCCTCCTTCTTCCCTTTCTTAAAGACTGGCGCTGTGTTTGCCCTTTTCGAATCATCTGGGACCTCTCCCTGATTGCCATGAGCTTTCAAAGATAACGGCCAGCAGCTCTGCAACTGTAGCAGCCAACTCCCTCAGCACCCTCAGATGCATTGCATCTGGCCCCATGGACTTGTATACATCCAACTTTTCTAAATAGTCCCTACCCTATTCATTCACCACTGAGGGCTGCTCACCTCCCCAAACTGTGCTGCCCAGTGCAGTAATCTGGGAGCTGACCTTGCCTGTGAAGGCCTGAGGTAAAAAAAGGCATTGAATACTTCAGCCTTTTCCTCCTCCATTTGTCACTGGGTTGCCTCCCCCATTCAGTAAGGGACCCACACTTTCCCTAACCTTCTTGTTCCTCTTGTCAGTCACTTCTTGGTTTGTGGGGAGGATATCTTAGATTCCAGCTGGAAAACCTTCCTGTAAACACAGTTTGGTGCTGACAAATGCATTTGTGCTTGCAACTGTAAAGAGACCATTCATTGTCTCCAAAAAATCAGTTTGAGAATATAACTACTAATGAAATCAGTTGCTGCATTCAGACGAGTATGAATGTGCGATGTGTGGTGCTACAGATCTGTGTGCACCGTCATACACTGCACATGCAGGTATTCCCAGAGCTGCTACCTTGCAGCGTGGGGGCTTTTTTTTGACTCCAGGAGATGCTGGGGTGAAAAAAAAATGCACACAAAAAAACTGTGGTGGCGCAAGTGGCAGCAGAGCATGCCACCCAAAGCTAGATCCCGGTCAGCTGCAGTTGCACTCCAGCTACTGGCCAAGGTTACTGCTGTGGCTGCAGCCCTGGGAGGACCCCAGGTAAGGCTGCTGGGGCCAGCAGAATTGCTGGCTCCAGCCTCTTCTACCCAACTTGGGATAACCTGCTGTGCACCAGAGTGCATGTGGCCTGGACATTCCCTGGGGAAAGCAAACATCTGCATTTTTCCTGATGTGCACACTATGCAATTCCTGGTAAGAAGAACTGAGACCTACAAGAACAGTTTCAGAAATTCCATTATCCCAAGAATACTCGGTGCCTGGACACCTGGGTAAAAGGGAAGATGGGTGGATAGGATAAATGGGTATAGGTTTAGGCAAAATTCATGACCATGTTTTATTAATTATAAAGGTAAAAGGCAGCACTCTCAACTTGAATGTATCGGTTTGAAGGAGAGCTGAGTTTTAAGACCAAAAGCAAGCACTTAAATTTTTACTACAGTCAGATTGATTTTTACACTTCTGCTTGTTTTAAGGTTGAGAGAGAAGACTTATTCCTTGTGGCCGTTTCTCTTGGATGAACAAAAGAAGTATCTAAATCCTCTATACAATCCAGATTTGTCTCAGAAGCTTACCCTTTTGGAGCCAAACACAGTGTCCCTCAATTTTAAGTAAGTTCTGTTAGGTACAATATCTTGTTTCACTTCTGTCAAGACCGGCTTGTTTAAAACTCCAGTGGATTTTGTGCACGCAGGTTTTGGAGAAATATGTATCATCAGTTTGATCGCACTATGCATCCCAGGCAGTCGGTATATAATCTCATTATGGACATGAATGAACAAAATAAACAGTTGGAGAAAGACATGAAAGAGCTAGAAGCTGTGAGTATTATGAAACTTATTCTGCTGTGATTTGAATAACACTTATATTCATAATATTGTAATAATGATACCAGTTTCATTACTGTATAACCCTGCACTCTTACTCCCGTGCATTTTTAATATTTATACTGCATCCAATTTTGGTTTTTATATTGGTATACTGTGTGATATTCAGGAGTAAACCTGATCTAAATGTTCTCCTCTAAGGGAAAAAAAATCCTTGAACCTTCCCCACTATTTTACAGTTAGAAGGAAAAGTTTCATGTTACCAAGAGCAGTTCAGTATTGGTTTGATTGTATCCCAGACAGCTATTCTCTGGCTAGACCCCCATAATTAAATTAGACTAGGGTTGCACAGTATTATCCTGTAAGGAGGCCAGAAATGTTTTAATTACTTGAGCCACAATTGGAAGGGCACCATTATTTTCTCCTATCTTTCAGTCAGACTCACCAGGCACCTAAGGTGTGATGATCTATTAAAAGCATATAATTAAATCATGCTCTGCCTCTTGTACTTTACCGGTTCCTCTCTTGTTCCAGCAGGTCTATGAAGTAATAGTAACATGGGAATAGAGGGTGTATGGAAAGATGTCTTTTGAACATGCAGCTAAAATGTGTATGGGTGCAGTCCTTTAAGTTTGTCATCTTATTTTAGTACAAACTCATGAAGCAGGACATATTTTGATTCTTGAAAGCTTAGCTAAAAATAAGGTTTTCATCATCTTAATTACAATAAAATTTTAAATGCAAATTTTGCAAAATTTTTCAGAAACTTGAACCTAAACTATTTTCCTCCTATGGAAAGTGAGGCTTCTGAACAATAATACCATCAAGCTAATCCCTGCAAAATATTTGATCCAGATCAAATAAGAACTTCTTCTTTAAAGCTTGCATATGGTCTTCTGAAACCTTTAACTATTACCCCAAGTATGATTGTGAACTTTCTTATTTTTGTTTTGTTTATGAGTTTCCTTGAAAATAAATAATTTAATCTAAATCTTGACCTGCTACTTGTTATACTTGCTCTGAAAGCATGCTTCAACACTAAGAGGGACTGAAAACACTTTGCAGTCTAGGAATAGAAGTCAAAAGGATGAACATAAATTGGAGAGATGGGCTGTATGCAAAAAAGGAAATTCAACAAAATTTGTGGCCAGCTACAAATTCATTAGGGAGACGCAGCAAGGGATTGGAGATGCTCTGTTCACCAGGACACCTCTTGGGGTAACAAGGAACAATGATCACAAACTGACAGAGAGCAGATTTAGACGAGGTATCAGGAAAAACTTCATGGTAAGGGTGGCCAAAATTGGGAATGGGCTTCCAAGGGAGGTGGTGCTCTCCCCTACCTTGGGGGTCTTTAAGAGAAGGCTGGATAGGCATCTGGCTGGGCTCATCTGACCCCAGCACTCTTTCCTGCCCAGGGCAGGGGGTCAGACTGATCTGTTGAGGTCCCTTCTGACCCTACCAACTATGAATAAAAGGCAGAGAGTCTTGAAGAATGATGCATTGCAAAGTGTATTATTTAATTTACTATCCAGTTGATCCACATTGTTCTTCAGACATATTCATATCTTCATCTACATCACTTTCTCCCAATAAGCAGTTTTCATTATGATGTTTCATTCTTGCAGTTAGGCCCTGCATCTCCTTCTTGCACTGCTTACACTTGACACATTTTCATTTTTTACCCAGGGAAGGAATTTCTTCAAAATATTCCCAGATAGGTTCTCTGTTACGCCCAGAAGCCATGACAGTTTTTCTGTGGCAAAAGTGTGGGGGGAATATAGGAAGATGTGTGTGTACTGCTGAATAATGTCTTCCCTTTTTCTTTCCAGTCCACTCCACTTCCTTCTTTATTCTAAATACCCAGCATAAGAGAGAAACAATTTTAAAGTTCCCCTTTGTGATCCCCACACCGAGCTTTACTAAGATATTGTTCAAAAGAGCAAACTGGCCAGCTAGGACATAGCTTTGGACAAGCTATGTTTAAAGTGTTGATTTAATTCATTTGCTTTTTAATTTTTAATCTTTAAATATGTTGTTCAATGAAATGATGCAGCAGTACTAAGAAAAAATGTTAACAATTGCTGTTTCAGAAAATAAAAGTGAGAAATAAGCAACAAAATGCAGTCCTCACCAAGGAACCATTACAGTCTGTGCATCCTACGCTTAAAACTCAGTGCTTTAAGGAGCAACCTCTGTTACCTGCAACTGATGCTATTCGAACTATAGAGGGCAGCAACACAGCAGACAATCGCTACAGTGAATATATGGAGGAGTTCTCAAAAGCTGACCCTGCCGTTGTGAGCTTGGAGTATGGAGTAGCAAGGATGACCTGCTAACTGAAACATGGAGCTGTGCTCCTTTTTTTCCTAGACAGACTGAAATGCAAGGCAGATTATTGTGAAGATGATCTGTTGCTGCATGACCAAAAAACAAATTTGTATAACGGTGAGCTTTGTTTTTGTAGAATAGAACAGCATGCTGGTTGTTAAGTGTTTGCTGTTCTCTGAGAAATCATGAATAGAATTTAGCTGTATTCTTTTTTTAAAGGGGCATTTGGTTATTCATAGTAACTTAAAATTAAGGAGCGGTATGTGTTTGGATTTAACAAGTCAGTTTACACTAGATTACCTAAAACAGTAATGATACTTTGATATGTTTCTTGCAGCCAAACACAGATGGTTTCACAAGCTACTCTTGGGTGATCAAAGAAACTTGACAAACTTGCTATTTTAGGCACTGAAGCTGTGCGTGCACGCGCGCGCGCGCGTGTGTGTGTGTGTGTGTGTGTGTGTGTGTGTGTGTGTATATATATAGTATACAATATAAATATGTATCCACCCTATTTAATTTGTCATACACTGCTAACTTTCGATGTTTAAAGTGCCATGAAAAAACTTAAGTATATTTCAGATGATAATAGTTGGCCTTAAATCTGTCAAATTGGTAGCCTTCTAGACCTTGACTATTGCAGCCTGTAACATGAATTTGTTTACACTGGTATTTGCTTGAATTGTTCTTTCCTTAAAACCAGTTCAGACTTAAGAAATGTAACAGGCCTGAACAGTTACATGCAGTCAGCAAATGAAGCTATAAAATGTTAGATCTTCTATCAGTAATCACTGATTATTATTCCTCACTTTCCTATGCCTTTATCATATAAATTGTAATAGACTGACTAAGTCTTACTCTGGAAACTTAATGAGTTAACATAGCGTAAGTGAGACTAGTTTGCATACAGTTCTTCTTGTTGTGGTAAAGTGTGTATCATTGGCAGCAGTACAATGTGTAAATGGTAAAATTGGAGAAGTTTTTTCTTGTTTGGTATTCTGCTAATTGAAATGGTGGTCAAGTTCCCTTTTGGAGGCCTGTCCTGAAGTTTGCAACAGTGTATGATGCTCTGTGTTTGAACATTGGAATGAGAAGTTTGAGGAGCAGAATTTACTAATTTATATACACTTTCAAACAGCCTTTCCCCCCCTTTCATCTGCCCAGAATTCTGACTTCTGTCCTCTCATGAGAAATTAAATACATCTCTCGTACAGGTGAAACCTGTACGAGAGATGTATTTATTCTATACGGAGTACCCTTTTAAATTGAATTAGCTTCACAAAACAGCACAGCCCCTCTTGTCCAAAACCTGCAAAAAGACTTTTTAGATAATTGAAGAGAGGGCAAAAACTGTTTCTGGCCTCCAAGTGAGGAGCACATGAACAAACCAGTTGTACAGAGCAGCTGATTAAAAAAAAAAAAAAGTCACTATTTGGAACACAGCCTGTCAGAAGCCGTATCCCTTGGGAAGCCAGTTAATACTTTCATTTGGAGGATGCAGTACAAAACCTGAGATGAAACTAATCTTTAACAGGAAAGTTTGATGAGAAGGATTATACTGTGCATTTCACATGGTGCTAAAGAAAACCTGTCACTAGGGTCTTTTCTAGCTTCCACTAAAGGAAAGGGATTTTTGGCTGAGTACGAACAAAGTCAGATTACTTCTCTACTCTCTTTTTCTTTTTTGCCCAAGTTAAAGAAGTAAAATTGGCTTTGAAAAAAGTCATTGTAAAGTGTGAGCACTTAATGCTTACACAGAGTTATAGTCAACAAAAGGTATTAAATTTCTTGGGTGGTGGTAGATTAATGCCACTAGCTTTACACTTCTGGCTGCAGTGAAAGAGTTTAGTCTCATATCATCCCTAAAATCTATTTTGATAAAATTGCCAGCATGGCTCACAATTGGCAGGGTCTGTCTCTGCCCTAAATGAGATCCAGAGCTGTATTAGCCAGGGCAGTACGAGTTATGATCAGGTCACATTGGCAAAGCCATATGAGGATATCTGTCTGCCCACACCTGGCCAGAGTGTTACTCAGTTGTCCATTTCATTCGCTAAAGAAAAAATACGTGTGTACATACACCCCTATCTGTAAGGCAGGGTTTGTCAAAATCTTCACCCAAATACCTTTCAAATGTTCATAATAGCCCAGTAAAATATATTAACAGAACTATACTGCATGTTCTCCCTTCCTCACTTCAAGCACTGCAGTGGTGTTGATATATTTGCACTATGGTGTCTTACAGGTCTGCAGCAAAGGAAGGGTTTTTGTGCCTTGTTCTGTCATACTGGCTTTGGCAGCTTGGTCCTGTAATTTTTTTTTTTCTTCAAATGATCTTGACCTATCACACATGCACACAGCATAGGTTTAGCATTGAAAACAAACAGGGTTAGTGTTATCACATGCTTGTCTGGCTCTTATTGTGGTGTGACATGTACTTTGCTTGTCATGTTTGTTAATGGACACTAAAGGTTGTATTAATCTGTTTGCCAGTTTTGTGGCACGTGTATGTTTTACTTCAGAGCTTTAAATACATGCATACTCAGATGTCTGTCAAGGAGTAAACCTGTTCTCTTCTTTGGGATGCAAAAATCACTCATTGGTTCTTCTTGACTTTTTTTCTCTCAAAGGGGCTTTGTTGAGCATGAAGGGGATCAGCAAGACACTATTTTAGATCCTAGGGTATAGGCATTGTAAGTTGAATGAGAAGATTGTGAAAAACTACCTGCTCAGGCAAAAATCTGTTTGCCCTGTAGCTTTATTGTTCTGTTCAAAACAAACTGCTCTTCTTAAATGAGGAAGAGAATTTTACAAGGCTGCTTTGAACAAGTCATCTTGCTTGGCTCAAACAGTTCTTCTGTAGGCCTGCCAACTCGGCCCTCAAGGTCACCAATGAAAGAAGTTCATGCAGAGAGTCTGCTGTCCATCTTTCTCTTGCTGTTAAGGTTTATGCCAAAATCAGGAAGTCACCTGTAGAGAAGTAAGTAGAAAATGGCAAAATAAGGTCCAACCTAAATTTTGGCACTACTGCCAGGGCTCAACCATTTAGCTTGCTGGGGCCATGAAGTGTCCTTCAGAAAGGTTAAGAAAGAATTGATTCTTTAATTCTAGTTAGGTAGAGGGCTAGAGAATAAGTTTACTGGAAGGAGCAAGGGGAAAAAATAATTTCACTAGCTTATAATGTTCAAGAGGATGGGTATTTTTGTTGCCAATAGGAATGCTATGTCAAAGGAAAGAAATATAATGAAAGGTAGATGGTGTACCTCGAGTTGTTATAGAGCACTTGAACTGCTCCCCTTTCAGTCTCGTTGGTTCTGTGTCGGTTTTGGACTTTGGTATGTTCCAGGTATTGAAAAGGTTCTGTGGAAAGCCCTGCTTCATGGAGCTACTGCATCTAGTGTGTGTCAAATTTTGAAGATACATTTGGTGAGTTTTTAGTAGGGATTTGGAGTTTCTTGTGAGCTAAGTATGTTTCAGTCGTGCTTTGGATATTCTAGAATAAATGAACCGTGACCAAACTAGTGCTATTTTGTCAACCCATCTGCCTGTTTAAAAACAAAACAAACATTTTCTGGCATGGAAAAATTATTTAAATTTTCACATGAACTGAAGAACAAAGTGTAATTTTTACCCCCAAGAAAGGTATATAGACGGGGGTTAATAATTGTAGGGATGTCCTCTTTAATACCATTCTAAATGCCCAACTGTTCTGTTTTGTTGGACAACTGCCAAATCAGCATACTAAGAAAATTAATTAAGCAACACTGAGCTGAGCTTGTGCATTTTTCCACACATGTCCAATTACTAGTGACCTAAATCTAGGGTAAAAGCTGCCTGAAATCTAGCCTGTCCATTTATAGAGAAATCTACAAAAGCATCCCTTTAACCAAGCTTGCTGTCACCATATTTTACATAGAAGAGCAATATTTATTTCAGCAACAAAACTAAAATTGAAGTAGGAGAGATGCTGTTCCCTTATCTATGCAGATACTACACTACACATGCACCCTAGAAAGTTCTTGAAGGACATGCTTAAGTATCATTTTCAGCACCAGCTGTTTTTGAATGCCTTTTTATCATACTGTCACAGTAGCACATACACAAAGCTCTGAGATAACTTATGACTCTGAAAATAATACATTGTTAAAAGCACATAATAGATGCAGAGCTGTTACAAAGGCCCCTGCAGCTGTCCTGTCAAGAGGGAACAGGGCCAGAAAAGCTGTGTTTATCCACTGCCCTCTCAAGAAAAGTGTCATAAACAACCGAAGAAATGTTATGTAACTTTTTTTTAATGAATGCTATGGAAGTTATAGGGCTGGCCCCTGTACAAGCTGAAGTCCATCTTCCCAAACAAGTACAGCATGGGCTGAAAAAACTACCAGTATGTTTTCTCATGTGACTTTTATTCTGACTTGCACAGTGCATAGTTGCTCACTCATAACTTGACTAGAGCTCCAGGAGGGTTTGGCTGCTCTAGTCAAGTTTTTGGGCCTGTAGGGATATATCTGTATTCAGAGCTGCACCAAAGGAAAAGCATGGACCCACAGGACTGCTCTACTGCCATTTGTAAAGCAGAGTGCTGCTGAAAGCATTACTTGTTGTGGTGCTTGCTAACTGTATCCTTGAGGCACAGCAGCTATCCCAGTGTATTAAGACTACAGTTATGTAGCTATGCCTCTCCGTTACTCAAAACTTTTTCTAATGACACAGTAGCATTGGTTTAATGACCGTTTCATTTGGCCTATTTTAAATGTCTACATATAAAATTGTGCTACCTTAAAAGTTGTGATGTTGCCCTAATTTAAAGTGGTTTCAGCTTCTTTTACATGGATCAATCTTAAGAAAAGGCTTAGTCAGGTTGTCTGCTACACATCTCGTGCACACACCCTTTTAAAAGTAGGACAATGCTGGATCATGACATGTAGTGGGTAAGGGAAGGAACTGCCAAGTGAGTTGAGAAGGTATGTGTGGGGTCTGGAAGCAAACCATCAAACAAGTTTGTTCTTGGATGTCACATACCACATTGGTAGGGAGTTATCTTTTCATATGCTAGCTTTTGAGTAGGAAATAATTTACCTTGATATTTTTTGATGGTGGCAGCATTGGAAATGGCATAGGACTTTCTGAAATCTTGTTTAACCTACCACTATTCAGGTCACTTATACAACAGGCATAAGGAGATGGGATTACAATTTTGACCCTTGCTAGAAGTCTCTTGTATCTTCACAAAGCTGACATACATGTAGTTGCTGCTGCTTTGTATCTCCACATAGA